CATCTGTCTATTAAAATTATATAATAAGGCAATAAAATACATCTCATTTTCTATATAATTAATTTCATGATAAAAAAATAAGAAATAAAGAATTTTTTCCCTGATCCATTAGATGAGTTTCTACTTCCTAAGCCCAGTGTAACAGTTAGATAAACAATTAGAAAAAATTTGCCCCAAACTAATTTTTTTTCTTGGGTTCAAATGCTCCACCGGTTAAGGTTAGTATATTTTAAAAATGTCTGTAAAAGACAAACTCCTTTTTTTTTTTTTTTTTTTTTTTCATCCCCTTTTAATCCCTCTCTCTCTCAGTATAGATTTGTTTTTATTTTTTTTTCTTGCCCCAATCACCACCACACCACATGCTAGTGGAGGTGGTGATAGTGATTGAAGGATCTCCATCACACTCCTCTATTATATTTATCTTAGGCGACTTAGATATATATTAATCTAACTTATTTATTTTTGATTATAAGTAAAATTGTGTTTTTTGAATCAAAAACATTTAACATTAAGTTTTTTTTAAAAAAATGTCCAATTATAAAAAAAAATTAAAAATATAAATAAAAATAAAAATTTCCAAAAAAAAATAAAAAAAATAAAAAATTAATTTCTTTACTTAACAAAAATATATAAAAAATATAAACGTTTAAGTTCAAAAAAATACCCCAACATGTAAAAAAAAATAAAAAATAAAAAAAAAAAAAAATAAAATCTAATCCGGCGAACTATTTTTAAACCTAATCTTAGAGGCCATCCAAATCCGCAGAGCTCACTAATCAATTCCCCTCCCCATCTCTTTGAAAACAAAACACAATTAGTGGGTCTCACTCAACTATACAATCTCAATCCCCCCCTCTAACTCTCCAAACAACACGGAGCCTTATACTTGGTAGATCTAAAAACCCTAGCTCCGTTTGTTTGGAGAGTTAGAGAGGGAATATGATATTGGTAGTGATGGTCGACCGACTAACATTGTTTTATGTTTAGACTATATGAGGGGATCCGATAGTAAGCTCCGCTGATTTGGATCGGCCTCCCAAGGAAGATTCAGATGGACCCCAAGACTTTGTATTATAGAAAAATAGTCCGCCGAACTAGAAAATTTATTTATTTATTTATTTTACATGTTGACATTTTTTTTTTAACATTAATATTTATAATTTTTGTATTTTTGTTAAAAGCTAAAAATACATAATATTTTTTATTTTTTGGAATTATTTATTTATTTTTAAAGTTTTAACATATTGAGAATTTTTTAAAAACATTAATGTTTAATTGTTTTTGTATTTTTATTGTCTATTAGTTTTATATTTAATTTATATAAAAATAATTTAACCAATCCTTACACTACAACTATCATCAAAATAAACACACAAATTTTACTTAATTCTCTCCACTATGAATTCCCTCACTAACAATTCCCACACTTTGAATCACCTCCATCTACCTATTAAAAACAAACAGATCTAATTCGTGTTCATATTGCAGCAATAACGAGGAGAAGTGAGAAGAATGTGGATTCTCTACTCAAAGAACAGAAACCTTATGTAGATTTTGATCTCTCTTAATTCCTTGCTTTAAATTCAAACCCTAAGTTTTTTTTTTTTTTCTGTTTCCCAACAAAATTTCCTCATCATATTATTTCTAGAACAATGGAATCCTTGGTTGGCAAGAAATGGTGCAGTTATAGATTTGTAAAGAGAGAATAAGGTAATCAGTATTGATTTTGAATTGATCTTTTCACTTTAAAAATCAGTCTCACTATAACATAAAAAGAATTTTAGAGAACCAAAAGCGGAAAATTTTGTGTACAAAAAAAATATTAGGACTAATTTCTATTCATCGAGAGATAGAGCTAAAAAATCTTCTGAAAGTCAAAAATAAGGCTTTTAACGACAAAAATTTTGAAAATGTCACCAATAAATAGACTTTTAGGGACAAATAATATTGGTTTCAAAATGATTTATTTTTTGAGACAAAAAATTTGATCCCAAATAAATAATAATTTCATCACTAATATCCAATTTAATTGCTAACGACATTTTTCACAACAAGAATATTGGTCCCTAAAAAATAAATGTCCCTAAATTTTGGCTCCCAAAACCTTAATTTTTATAGTGTCTTTTGAAATATGTATATATATATATAATATATACAATATGTAAGTGTATTATATTATGTGTGTGTCTATTATTTATCCCAAAAAAAAATGTATAGAGAGATCCTTAGTTAGTGTTTGGTTTATTAGAATAGAAGTAGAGTGAAATTATCATTCTATTTAAATGTCTATTTTCACGTTTAATTCACTAAAAATATTGTGAAAATTGAATTGCTTATGAATTTATCAATTACCATTGCAAGGAAATGATCGTTTTATAGGAAAGTTAAAAAATAACCATTACATTCCATTTCACATTTATTTTAATAAACCAAATACTATTTAAATGCGCTTCCTTTTAATCTTTTATTTTACCAATGATCGAAGCTGTGCAATTTTGAGTCTTCACATTGCATAATTCTTAGCATAAGAAAGATTAAATGAATTAATTATAGAGAAGGCTTTTCTCCAGTTTAAATCGGATTGAAGAGTTTTGTTCGGCCTCTATAGGCCAACTATGGAGCCCGCATTGATGATCTGAACCGTTATTGTATAAAGTTAATTGAGTATTTCATCATTGCAAAAAATTACGTTGATCGGATATCGATATTCACTTGATCAGATCACATTTGTGTGAACAATAAGTATAATTTTTAAAATAAATTATTAATACAAATGCAATTTGATCAAGTGGCTATTGATATTCAATCAACGTGATTATTTACAAGGATGAAGTATTCAACAAGCCCTACATATTGATTGGTTTAGATTATCGATGTGTACTCCGTGGTATGCCCACAGAAGCCCAACAACACTGTCCAATTGGGTTTCCCAACTGGAGAGAGAATCCTCTCCCTTAATTATTCTATCAAGTGTAAAGTATATGTTAACAAAATATGAATACAGAATTTTAATTGTTTGTTATTTTTTTTAAAAAAATAAAGAAAATAAACTTGAAAAGCAAAATTACAACAATATAAAAAAAAAATCATTTAAAATTGTCGCTTCAAACTTCAAAGTATCTCTAGAGCATCAAGTTTTCGCAGAGGATATTCACTTATTCTAGGATTTGTTTGGTGACCTAAATATGACAGAATTCTTTTAGAAGTGAAACATATTTTGTTAGAAATTTAATAACACTAAAAAAAATTCTTAAAATATCTTAGATTCATATTGATATGGCTTGGGAAATTATTCAATATTTTTAAAATATCATATGTTCGTATTCCTAACAAATCATTATTCATTATCCTCCCACACAATATCCTACATACTCACTCATGTCTCACAATCATCCAATATAATATTCTACATATCCATTTTTTTTCACTAATCACAATATTATAAAATAACACGTATCTATACTCTGAAATTACTGAATAATTACTCATATGGCTCTTCCTCGTTTTCTAACGTTGACATTTGAGATAGACAGAAAAAAAAGACGTTCAAATTAAATATATTTTGGTTTGGCTAACAAGTAATCAATAACAAATTGTCGATGTAAAAACTCCTTCACAATGGGTTGGAAGAAAACTATTCACATGTACAAGTGAAGTAAACCCGTAAATCCCTACAAATTAAAAATAAAATATACTATAGAAATGAAAAAAATAAAAATTAAAAAAATAAAATAAAAGAACAACTAAAGAAAGTGTTGAACGCTAGTAGGTTTTGTTTGAAATCTGGTTCGGCAGGCTCATCCTGGGCATGATATGAACCGCGACTGGTTGAAACCCAGTGGGTGGATCCAGCTCCCACAATCTAGGTGGTGACGACACGACATCGACCACTACAATTCCACCACCACAAACAACACACACTCTGCCAGCAGCGGCGGCGATCTGGTCGGCACCTCTGAGGCTCTGGTCCTCCAAAATCTGATCCCATCGGTCATTATGAGGATCATACTTGCTCAACACACCCTTAGACTCATCCACCACGTACAGTGTTTCCTCATCCATGGCAGCAGTCGGACCTCTCCACCCGGAAACCATTCCTGGGTTACATAGGATTTGCATCTCCTCCCAACCATCATTCTCAACATCATAAACAGCCCCTTCTTTGGCCCCATATCCTTTGACATTCACCATACATAGCTTCCCTCTCCACCCAACCGCATCAATCGCATCTCTACTTAATTTTCCATCTCTCAGACCACCCAACTTCTCCCACTTCCACCCCAATTCCATACATGTACTGCTTCTAATTCTCCCTTGGTCTCTTCTTCTGCGGTCATGATTGTGATCATGAATATTGGTTCGTCGTAAGTCCCACTTCTCAACAGACCGAGCAACGTCGGTGTTGTAATGTGACCCAATCCCACTGGCTACATACACAACGCCGGTGCTGGTTGCCCCAGCAGCGCACCAGCGTCGCGGAGTGGTGAGTTGAGGACCCAAGTCCCATTTTTGAGAAAGTGGATTGAAAAGGAGAGGGCGAGGGAGTGCTGGGAGAAATTGGTCGGTGGTGGCAGCAAGGAGGAGTAGGTTCCCAGAAACAGAAAGAGACTGGATGGGTAAGTTGCGGGACAAGAAGGAAGGATGTCTACGGAGGACAGGGGGGAGGAAAGGCTGTGGTGGCGGAGGAAGGGTTTGCCATTTCGATGAAATTGGATCGAATGAAAATAATTCAATTGTATTTGAGAGGTGGGTTTGATCGGTACTAGTTTGTGACGTAGACAAGAAGACAGTGTAGAGAGAGAGGAAAGGAGGAAAAGAAGGGGAATAAATGAGGTGCCTCCATGAACGGCAGACTGAGTAGAGAATTGATGGGTGGACGAGAGAGAGGCAGACTTGGGCTATGTGATCTGGAAGTCCTGGTAACAAAGCTTGTTCTTGCTCTTGCTCTTGCTCTTGCTCTTGGTTGTCAATCAACCTTAGGCGTTTGTTTGCTGATGATCCGCAGTTAGAAGTTGTGGTGGTAGTGGTTGTGAATTGGGTCATTGGAGAATGGAGGAGAGAGAGGGGGATTGGATCTTGAAAGTGGGATTTTGAGGCTAGAGAAGGGGTTAAGCTTAAAATAGAGGCCTATGTTGTATTGAAACTGTTATCTTTTCCTTATTTTATTATATTTTATTTTATTTGATAAGAAATGATTCATTGGAAGAACAAGTAGCCAATGAAGGAAAAGCAAAAGATATTATTTATCTCTTCCATCGCCAAGAGGTCAGTCTCCAGTTTAAATGAGAGGGAGAGAACAATATGCAGCTTTTGTGGAGCCAAAACGTGGCATGCTTGAGGACCACAAGTATGAGCTTGGAGCAACCGCCTAAATTAACTTTAGGTTTCAAGACGAAAAAGGCTTGGTTGGACTTTTGCAATCAATGTTTGTTTATTTGTTTGAGAGAGAGAGAGAGAGAGAGGGGAAATAAGAAGAAGAAGAAATAGATGATAAAAGTTGGAGAGACCCCACTTGCCTCCAGCATTGCCTTTGCCTGCCGAGCAGGCAGGTGCAGAGAACCAACCAATTGATGACTTTTGGAGTTTGTAGTTTACTTATATATATATTAGAAGCTGTACGGGGAGGAAATAATTCTCCTCGTATAATTCTGTTGACCAAGTCTATGCTCTTCCGTACGACGTCGCTTTGTCACCTGAAAACACAAACGTGAGCTAGCCGGCGCGTGTGTGCCGGAAACCTCTCCGATGCCTAAGTCAGAAAACTTGACAAATAGACAAAGCTCTATGTTCTCAGAAAGAATTATGTTCAATTACCTCCTCCAAGGTGATGCTTGTGAGCTTTTATAAGTTTCCCGTGGCACAATCCTAGTAGGACTTGTATTTCTCCATGCAGAGTCCTCCTAGGATTCATTCTCCTAAGGATAATGCTTATCCTTTTACACCCTCCCCCACTGCTTAACCAAGTGGGATGGTTTTCTTCCATGGCCGAACTACTATATGACCGAAGTAATCATGGCTTACACTTAGCCGAACAATACTTAGGTCGGCTCTCTGCCCTTAGTTCCTCTTTCATTAACAACGGCATGCCTAAAACCGAGCTATCTTTTTATCAAGGTTTAGACCGGTCTATCTTCACTGTGCCATGACCGGTGTAAGTTCAAAGCATATTTAAACCGGTCTAACTGCAACGCATACTTCAGATCTATCTTTTTTATTTCCCTTTCGAAATCCCTTCTTAAATTTCCAAACCAAACAGTATTAAGGTAATCATTGATCACCAACCTGATTGAAAGACCAGATGCAATGATATTAATAAGTCTCAACAACTCCATCCTTTCCGATTCAAATAATTCTCATCTAGGAAAATGAGTGATTTTTTTTTTTTGTAAATCAATTATTTAATCTTTATCTTTATTTGTAGGCCATGAAATTAATTTTTATAAGTTATTTATCAACTTTTATTTGTTTATTTATAGGAAGAAAATTTAAATTATCTATAAGTTATGAAATTAATTTTTTTAAATTAATTGTTTAATTTTTATCTTTTTCTGTAGACTATAAAATTAATTTTTAGTTTTTATATGTTTATCTATATAGAGAAATTTTGAAATTCAAATCTTTATTCATAAGCAATGAAATTAATTTTAATTATAAATAATCAAACAAATAGAAAATGAAGAAAAATAGAAAACATGAAAGGCAGTCAAAGAAAGTTGTCACGTAGGAAAGAGAGAGTTTGAAAATCATGAGAATTTAGGAATAAATATTTGGAGGCTTTAAAATGTTGTTCATCTAGAATGTAAAAATCAAAAAATATATATACTAGTGGTCTTCCGCGTACATTGCACAATTAGCCATGCCCATGGTTCAAGTGACAGTGATACTATATGCACCAATTAGTGTATTAATTAGTGTACCAAAACTAGTTATGGCATTATTATTTTTTTGATTAACAAAAAGAAAAACTTTATTGATGAAAATAACATACAAAAAATGGAATTACATCAATAAAGATGAGACAAGAGCAAAAAAGCATCAAAGTGAACCCTCCAAATCTCAACTGGGTTGGCACTAAAAAGGACACCCTACCATTTGCTAGTTCAAGCCAAGTTGGTGAGAGAACAACAAAGATACAGCAGCAAAACAGCAGTGAAATCAAAGCAAAACAGCAAACATCAGTAAAACAGAACAACAGAACACTCGCACAACAAAATACTCAGCAGAACATTCAGAATACTTAGCAACAAACAAAATAGACAGCTCAGTGAACAGAACATTCAGCAGCAAATAGACTAGCAGAACACAAGCAGAACAACATTGAATTCATCAAATGCACCCCGTGATCTAGTTAAAGTTGAATACAAAATCATGAATGGAATAAGAGTATGAGTTCCGAAGAGAATGACTCTTCAACCAAATGGCAACTCTAGTCTTGATAAGCTCACAAAGCTTCAGGAAGTTAGATTGAGCACCATTAAACACACAATCGTTCCTGAACTTCTAAATTGACCATAGAACAGCAAGTGAGAATGCTTTCCATAATTGAAATTCTTTCTTCCTGATTTTAGTGCCAATCCACCAATCAAATAAGGCCACCATAGAGCCTGGGCATACCCAGTATAGACCCTACCAATCTATGATGTTAGACGTTTTTTGTGGATATTAGGAGACATATTTATAATTCGCATGCAGTTCATATTATATTTTTGTGGATGATGCTGAAATTCGATTGTGATGTTTATAAAAATGAACAGGTTTTTGTATTGATTTGTAATAGATATTTTATTGAACAGGTTATTGAAATGCGCAGGGAATTGTTACTGAAAAGAAAAAAATTCGGAAGAAAATAGTACCCCCATTATCAAATTTTTTAATTTTTATTAGTGACGAAATAAAAAATGTCGCTATTAGTTTTTAAAAAACATGACGAATAATTTTGTCACTAATGATATAATACCAAACAAATAATTTCGTCACATTTGCTGAATATTTCGTCGCTAAATTGAAATATTTGGTGACAAAATGTTTTTTGTCATTGAAGAATTTTCTTTTCTGCTCATTTTAGTGAAGATTTTTTTTGTCACCTTAATCCATATCATTGGTGAGGAAAACTTTCGTCACTAAAATCTATTTGGTAATGAAATATTTCGTCGCGAAAAATAATTAAAATAAAATATTATTTAGTTTTGGCGACGAAATTGATGAGGACGAAAAATTCAACATTCGGAGACGAAGCATTTTGTCGTCAAAAATCAAAATTAGGCGACGAAACTGTTTTTCGTCACCAGGTACTTTCAGCGACGACGTATAAGCCACGAACGTGGTGACAGTTTTTTCGTCGCAAATCACTTTAGTGACGAAATTTTGATGTTTGGAGACAAAATCAGTCTGTCACCAAAGGCTTTTTTTGTTGTAGTGAATGATAAGAGTTCATCATTCTATCATATAGCAACAAAACAGGTGTAAACCATAGTAGTGTGATGCCCAATCAACACCCATAGCTTAGAACATTAATTGGGTCTACAAGGTACCGAAAAATCATAACTCCCAACTTTTGGTTCATTAACCATTAGCATGTTTTTTTACAATGTTACCCAAAGGACTTTATGTTCACATCATATGTAACATTAAATATAACATTACCCAAAATAATAATATACAAAGTGCAAAATAAAATGTCAAGCAATTTATTTAATCAGTCAATAAATTGGTTTTTGAGAATACAAATACTAACAGAGGATTCAGCTTAAGTCAATCTTTGGAACAAGAGATTAAAGAACAAAGAACTCTTTCAGCGAAGGAGGATCTATCAAATTGAAGAGGCAGGAACTACACATTGATTTTGCAGTCAAACTGAACTGGTCTACATAAGAGAACACAAAGTGATATAAATAAAAGTTAACAAATCCATGTAAACATAAGATTATCATCTTAAATAGCAAAGGAGGCAAAAGGAAACTACAAACCAAAAGTCATAAACAATAAATACAACAAAAGAAATTGAAAAGCCTTCTCACCCCTTTTCTATACAAGGAACCAAAAGCCACCACTACTTTTCTCACTTGCCTCCATCTTCACAATTCCTCTATGACCACCAGCTCATGGTTATACTGCGACAGCGTCGTAACAAATACCGTCTTAGACTGATTATGTCTTTCCAAATCAACCACAACTTCCTTAACTATGATCACAACTTTTAGAATTTCGTGAACAATGAAATTCAAAATTCAGTCATATTAAAGAATAAATTGGATTGAAGATAAAATTAAATCATGTAACAGTTTAAAATTTTTGTTAACAGTCATTTGTATACATATTTTATCAATCAATCAATCCACTATGGAGAACCAATGTATCTTTCCTAGATGGACCACAATTGTTACAGTTATTTAAGGAAGTTACGCAAAGAAGTGCCAAAATTCATTTGGTTAAATCAAATTAAACTGTAACACGACCCGTACAAAAGATACAAAAGAAAAACAAGAAAACGAAGATATAAATCAAATAATGAGACAACAAATAAAATCTTGATAAACACACAACTTGTAAATTAGAAGACCAAAAAAACCCTAATCTCAGCCCACAAAATCTGGAGAAAGTCCTGCAAAAAATACATTCATCAGAGTTAAAAGATTAAGAACAAAAATGAAAGCATGATGATCTAAAGATAACAAAATAACAAACAACAAAAAGAATCTACTCAAAAACACATAGCAAACTTTAAAAGACTCGTTCTGTTAACTTGCTCTAGCCCTGAAATGCCGTCCAATCTGCCTAAGCATATTAGAAACAATATCGGGGAAAAATGATCAACAAGCAACAAAATAGAACCAAGAACCAAAATCCAAATGTTATGAATCATCAAAATCCGAAGTAAAAACATAATTGTTAAAACTATAACCTCATTCATTTTCCTCCCAAAATTCAAATGTTTTGAATCATCAATGTCATTTTATCTCATGGAACTAGTATTAGAAATCTATCCATAATGCCAAAGAAGCAACAATGTTAATGTCCAGAAATAGAAGAAGAATATAATATATAATCAAAGCTTTAAAGGCTATTAATAGTGTTATGTATCTATCATATGTTACCAACCATTCTACAAGCATTGAAAATGCAAGCAACAAGCAATTAAAAAAAAAAAAAAAAAAAAAAAAAAGGTAAATTTGTTTGATAGTTATCTTTTGATTAAATTCATCACAAACTACAACACCAATACATTGAGTTTATAAAATTATTTTAATGCTATTAAAACACGCAACAGT